TGCTCAGTGACACGGCAGCATGGAAGCCCCCACTGGCGGACGGGTGGTGGCTGCATACCAGGGGTACACTCGGGGGGGGGGGACTGAAACTGGGCCTCCAGGATGGAAGTCGAGAATGGACCAACGAAACTCCTCTGCCTTCCACCTCATGGAAAACAAAACCCCAAAAGCCAAACACCCTGCCATCAACTCGATCCCACGGTGACTCTGTGGCAGTCACCTGCTCCAGAGGGCTTCCGAGGCTGTAACCTTTACGGCAGGCAATGGGCACACCTTGCTCCTCTGACTGGCCGCTGTGTTTGCACGTCAGCATTGTTAGGTGCCAAGGATTCGGTTCAGAGGCACAGGCACCCTGGGCACAGCAGCATGAAGCACTGCCCGGTCCTGCCCCCATCGAACCACGTCTGCCGTTGTCAGGCCAGCTCGCTGCGGGCCTTCCTCCTTTTTCACGCCCCTCAAGGTCCTGTGAGTCCACTCGACTGGTGCATCAGACCTGGGGTGCGCCGAGGGTGTGCCCTTGCCGCACGCTACCTGAGTGGGATGCAAGCAACTTCACAGAGAAGTCAGCACCACGCCAACAGTCTGGTCTGTTGATGTCCACTCACGTCAACGCTGGCAGAGCCCCTGCCAAGCACCAGGCGCCCAGCAAGCCAGCCATCCCTTCATCTCGAATCGCTGAAGGTCCACAGCCAAACTCACGAGCATGTCCGATGGGGTGGCTAAGAGTCAGCATCCACTTGATGGCGAGGAGTTTGGCTCTTTGAGTGAGGACAGAGTCGAACTGTCCCCCAGGGTTTCCGAGGTGGCAACTTTCTCCAGCAGTGTAGGAACCACCCACCTTCTGGTTAGCTGACAGGCAGTACTTCAACCACTGTGCCACCAAGGTTCTTTCGCCCCATCGGGCAGCATCAGAGTGTTCAGTAGAAGCTCCTGAGAGCTACCATTGAAAAAAGGCCCAGGGGGTTGACGCCAGAAAGGCAAGCAGGGAACCCCACAGGTGTATGCAATCTAACTGGGGGGTGAATGAACAAGCAGGTCACCGAACAGCCAACTGCTCTTCCAGAGCTCTGCTGCTCCATCACGGTCATTCTGCGCACCCCGTCCCCAAAGAAGCCCTGGGGGACTGTGGATTAGGCTCGAGGCTCAATGGAGGGTTGGCAGGCTCCAGGCTTGGGAAACCCTGTTCTGAGGCAGTGGGAGCGTGGGGTCCAGATGCCAACACTCGCTCTCCTCTCGACCGGCAAGCCCAGAAATAAAGAGCAGGAATCCGGAGTCAGACCAACTGAGATTTTAGCCTTGATGCCCAGCTCCCTCACCAGCATGTCCGTTAAGTGCGTCCCCCCCTGCAAAACGGAAACGCCACAGTGCTTATCCACCCAAAGCCACGGCGCTGGAGTGCTGGATCAACGTCGTTGCTGCGGGCCCCGTGGCGTAGTGGCTCCCACCGCACACTGGACCATGAACCACACCAGGTGCTCTGAGGGAGAAAGATGAGGCTGTCTGCTCCTCTACAGATTTACGGTCTCAGAAACCCTATAAACCAAACAACAAACTTACTGCCGCTGAGTCGACGTTGACGCATAGAGACCTTGTAAGACGGAGTAAAACGGCCCCTGTGGGTTTCCAAGATTCTAATTATTGACAGGAGTAGAAAGCCCCACCTTCCTCCCCCAAACCAAGCTAAACCCACTGTCATCGAGGCAATGCTGACCTCTAGTGACCCCCTGTGGGTCTCCGAGACAGACTGTCACTGGTTATGGGAGTAGAAAGCCCAGTGTTTCTCCCACAAAGCTGCTGGTGGTTTCGCACTGCCTACCATGTGGATCGGCACTGTGGACCATGTGGTTACCAGGGCTCCCGTCCGTCTCCCCAGACACGCTATCTGTAAGTCAGAATTGACGTCACTGTTTGTCTTGGTTTGTTTTTTGTTGTGTTTCTTTTTTAGAGAGTGCTTTCTACCAGATTTAAAAACAGTTGCCGACATAACTCCGACTTTGGGCCACAAGATGAAGGGTGCTCCTCGGCGTTGTCAATGACTGAGTCGTCCTTTGAAGCCAGTGGCCAGGCCTTTGGACTTGAACCTCCACCTTTTGGTTCCAGCCAAGTGCATGTATCATCGGCACCACCCAGGGACTCCTTGCACCAGACACTCCCGGTTCTTTTTAACGTCTCATCCTTTCTGCCCCAGTAGGCAGCAGCTCCCCAAAGGTTCCATCCACACAAGCATCCTCTGGGCCCACCACCACCAGCGTGTGGAACACAGTAGCCATCCATGGCACCTTCGACGAATGCCATTCTGGGCCTCCCTGGGCTTGTGTCTACAGACGGGTGGTCTCTGAGCGCAGCAAGGGGCCTGCAAAGAGAACCCCGCTGACAAGTGCTGCTATGATCTCAGTGTGTGGAAGAGGAGTCCTCCTGTCTCCTCTCGTCTTCCTACACCTGGCCCTATCCGCTGCCCACCCACAGAAGACACACACAGTGTTGAAACTCACCCAGGCCCAGGGCTCCCCCGTGACTCTAGGGGGCAGGGAGGGAGAAAGGACACTGATTAACTTGGGAAGTAGTACTGAGTGAGGGATGACAGCAGGCCATAGTCCTAGCGGTCAGGTAAATAAAGTTCAGAAAGGGAGGCCTGGACACAGGCACAGGCCAAGGGCAGCCCCAGCAGGCTACAAGCCCTCCTGGGAGGGGGGCTGTGTCCTATCCACCTCCCTCCACCAGTTCCCGGCAGGAGAGGCTTGCTGAACAGGCAAGGGTCTGCAAACCTGGATCTGAAGGGCAGCTCCGGCCCCAGACTGCCCCTCGGTTTCTCCACACCTGACCTGGTGGGATAGCGGTTACCCTGTTGGGCTGCTAACCGCCTGGTCAGCAGTTCGAAACCAGCAGCTGCTCCACTGGAGAAAGACAGGGCTTTCTACTCATGTAAAGAGTGACAGTCTCGGAAACTCACAGGGGCAGCTCTACTCTGGCCTATAGGGCCTCTGTGAATTAGCATGAACTTGAGGGCGGTGAGTTTGCTGTGTCCTCAACTTGGATTCAGACTGGGGTGCGTGACAGGTTGGCCCCTGGGCTGCTAGCTGAAAGGCAAGAGTTTCAAATCTTCACAGAGAGGCCTGGTGATCTACTTCTCAAACACACTGGGAAGTGAACACCGATGGACCGGTTCTACTCTGACCTATCTGCAGTCTACCAAAGCCAGGACCCACTGGGCAGTTTCTGTTCCTGTTCAGTGCCGTCAGGGCAAGAGAACAGGACACACGCCCAGGGATGGGCCCTCCTCACAATTGTTCTCATGTTTGAGCCCAGGTTGCAACCACCGTGCCAATGCATCTTGCGGAGGGCCTTCCTCTTTTGCTGCCTATGGTAGTTACATAATCGGTTGTCAATTTGAGAGGATTAAGAGTGAAGGGGTGGAGTCTAGCCTGTCAATCAGGTGAAAGCTTGATGACCTCATGTGGATGCGCTAAGGAGATACATAGCTCACTGGAGGCAGGATGCAGGCTCACTCCCAGAAGCCACATGAAGCTACCCTGATGCACCCAGAGCCCTGGGAGCTAGAGGAGCCACGTGGAGACCCCTGCCAGCGCTGAGATGCTTACAACACCACTGGCTCCACAAGACTTCCCACCCGCTGGCCTGTGATCTTCCTGCATTCAGCGTCATTGCATGTGTTTCATGAGTCTGAAGAGGCCTTTATAGCTTGGTATCAGACATAAGAACTAATATCGGAATTATGGACTTGATCTGGACTGGGCTGGGATGTTTTCTCAATGTTCAATTGCCCTTGTATATAAAGCTCTTTCTTATACACTTGAGTGTCTATGAATTTGTTTCTCTAGTCAACCCAAACTAACACACTGCCCCTCCACTTTACCAAGCGTGATGTCCTTCTCCAGGGACTGGTCTCTCCTGACAATATGTCCAAAGTATCTATCTTACAGGAGTGAGACATTAAATGACATCTGGGCACTTCCCATGTGCCAGGCAGTTTTATGCATTTTACAAATCAACTTGCTTCATTCTCGCAGTATTTGGTACATTATATAACCCCTTGCCGGCTGAGAAGATGGAGTCCAACTTATAGTGACCATATTGGACAGAGTAGAACCATATTGGACAGGGTCCCAAAGCTGCCAGAGCTCTCTCCCGAGGAGAGGCTCAAAAGAAAAATCAAACTCACTGCCACTGAGTCGATTCTGACTCATAGCGACTCGATACGACAAGGTAAAACTGCTCCTGTGAGTTTCAGAGACTATAACTCTTTATAGGAGTAGAAAGCCTCATCTTTCTCCCCAGAGCAGCTGGTGGTTTCAAACTGCTGACCTTGTGGAGGGTTAGTTGCCCAATAGGTAAACTGCTCCATCCGGCACCAGGGCTCCCTTAAGGCGGGCTAGTGGGCTCCAAACGCAGGCCTTACGGTTAGACACAGAGCTTATAATCACTGCACCACCCGGGCTCCGAGGTACATTACGCCCACCAAAACCCAGTCACCCAGCCGATTCCTACGCATGAGCGGCCCATAATACGACGATTCCACCTACCAGAAAGGGGTCCCTCTGGGGTGGTTTTTCATCGAACACTTAACACAGAAAAATGGGGGAGAGAGGCAGAAAGGAGGAGTCGGGGGTGGGTCTTGAAGGTGTGGCGGTGAGAATCCGTAAATGCTCAGCCAGCGCACGTCGGGTGAGGAAGCGGGAATCCCAGAAGATAGTGGATCAGAGGCTGTTTCCAAGCGTGGGTGGGGCCGCGAGAGCCCCGGGGCACCCCCATCGGGCCACAGGATTCGGGAAAGGGGTCCCTCTCGCTGAGGGTTACTGACCCCCAGGGGAGCCTGGGCAGTGAGGTGAGGAGCCTCCGTGGGAGAAAAGCGGGGGCACTGGAGGCAGAGGCCCCGGAGGAGGGTGCGCTAGCAGAGTCCGGCGGGGACAGCCACTGGGCGACTCGGGGACCCCAGGCCAGCAGGCGCCGCTCGGGGCCTCCCCAGCCCCGGGCTCACTCACCTGACCCCCGTCCAGGGGCGGGCCAGCAGGGCGCGGCGGAGCGCGGGCAGAGGGAGATGCATCGCCGGCTTGCAACACGACTATCCCCAGGAGTTTGGATCTGGCCCCGCAAGACCTCTGGGCCCCGCCCCACTCGGACCACACCACTCTGCAGAGAGGGGTTTCGGAGCACCCCACCGTCCTCCGCGCTAGGAATCAGCATAAAGCCACACCTGCACCCTCTAGTAACAAGAACATTTCTGTATTGTCACCGAATGGGACCCCTGTGTACTACCGAACAAGGAAAACCGATAGAGAAGGCCTGGAATACAGTCTCTGTCCCCCTGCAGAAGTGATGGTATGACCCAATCTCCCGGTGCCAAAGAGGGGAAGGGGCGTGAGCTCCATTAACCAATCAGGGTTACACATGAGAGCTCCTGGACCAATCAGAAGGACGGTCAGGTTGCAGCCTTCTTGGCCACAGGGAAAGGGACTAAAAGAACCAATTGGAGAACGGGAGTCGGGGCACGTGCCGTGACTAGGCGGAAGAACGTACCGGGCCAGGCGCTCGTCAGCGCTTTAGCTCCTTAGCATGGGGCTGCGTTTGGTGGGTGGGAGGCTCTGAATTTGTGCAGTTACCAGATCCCGCCCAGCTCTACGGCCCAGAGCCAGCCGCCCTCCACCTCCCAGCCTGGCGCTGGGCCCCCGCAGCCTCCCGGGGCCTGGCGCTTCTTAAAATCGGCCTGAAGGCTCCCTTGCAGATTACCATGGATCGCAGATAAAAACTGAGCCAATCAAGGCTGAGCTTTCCCTGCAATTCCCTTACCAGGAGCCACTGCTCGGACGCTTGTTTTACCCCATTGAAATTTGTGTTCTCTAGGGGAATGTTTCTTGGTTTTGTTTTCTATTTTTTATAAATCAATTTATTGGGGGATCGTACAACTCTTATCACAACAAATAGCAACAAATGTACAAGTGTGCTTGACGCAATGGATGGGTGTATGGATTGTGATAAGAATCTGTTTCCTTCATGACTGCTTGAAAGCTATTTAAGACTCGGATTCTGAAACCTTTCATAATAACAGGGTCTTGGGAGGTTAGGGTTGTATCACCTGGCCATACTTACTCAGTCTGTACAGTGAGCAAAATGATCAGGGACGAAGGGTTCTATGAAGAAGAGTACGACATAACTTGTGATATGCACATGGCAACTTTGCTGGCTGAAGGTGAGGGAGACCCAGGAAGGCGGCCTTCCGTGTGGATCACACTCAAGGTAAAGAAGACTCAAACCCTCACAAGTGGAGAAAAGGCTCACGTTGTCAAGGATTTTGCCTTGCTTGGATCCAGTGCTCATGGAAGCAGCAGTCAAGACCAAATGGCACACTGCATTGGGTAAATCTGCCGCACAAGACCTCTTTAAGGTGTTGGAAAGCCAGGATATGACTTTGAGGCCGATGGTGCGCCTGACCCAAGCCAGGGTCATTTCAGTAGCCTCGTAGACAAGTGAAAGTTGGACACTGAGTAAGGAAGACCAGGGAAGAATTGATACATTTGAATTATGGTGCTGTTGAAGAATATTGAAAGTACCATGGGCTGCCAAAAGAACAAACAAAGCTGTCTTGAGAAGAAATACAGCCAGAATGTTTCTTAAAAGCCAGGATGAAATAAATAAATAAATAAAATTTTAAAAACAAAACAAAAAAAGCCAGGATGGTGGGGGAGGGGGGAGACTTCATCTCACGTATTTTGGACATATGATCAGAAGAGACCAGTCTCTGGAAAAAGACGTCATACTTGGTAGAGGGGCAGTGAAAGGGGAAAGCCTCAGCAGGATGGATTGACAGGGTGGCTGCAACAACCATCTCAAACACCAGAACAATTGTGAGGATGGCGCTGGACCAAGTCGTGTTTCAGCCTGGTCAGAGCTGACTTGATGGCACCTAACAGCAACAAGGAGGTCATTCTGATCCTCAAGTAATTATAGCCTTTTTTCCCACTGTCATTGTGGCAGTTACATAATCTCCTGTCGACTTGCAAAGGGGTTGGAGTTGAGCCTGTCAATCAGATCCCAGCTTGATGACCTCGTTGTGGAGGCCAGATACACACTTTCTCTCTGCTTCATCTTCCTGCTGACAAGACACATGGGGCCACACTGATGGAACCAGAGCCCTGGAGCGGGAGGAGCCATGTGGAGACCCACGCCAGTGCTGAGATGCTTCCACCGCCACTGGAGCCACAAGACTTTCCACCCACTGGCCTGCCATCTTCCTCCATTCAGTGTCATTGCATGTATTGTATGAGTATGAAGAGGAATTTATAGACTGGTATTGGACATATGGGCTAATATCAGACATATGGACTTGATCTGGACTGGGCTATATACAATTACTCTTTGACTTAAAGCTCTTTATTTTCTTTAAGTCATTTTATTGGGGACTTGTGCAACTCGTCACAATCCATACATCCATCCATTGTGTCAAGCACATTTGGACATTTGTTGTCATCATCATTCTCAAAACATTTTCTTTCTACTTGAGCCCCTTGGTATCATAAAGCTCTTTCTTACACATGAGTGTCTATGAATTTGTTTCTCTAGTCAACCCAGACTGACAGTGTCATCGTGCAATTGATTCTTCAAGCTGTGTGACCTGAGTTCCTGCTTGGGAGAGAATTAACAATGCTGACTCTGGTTCCGACATGCAACACTGGGCAAGTAACATAACCTCCCCGGGCCTTAGTTTCCTCATCCAGAGAATGGAGTTAATCATGGGTGTTAGTCGTCATGGAGATGGCTGTGATTTATGCATAACTTAAGCACGACAGAACAAACAGTTGCTGGTCCCTCGACATCTTCCCGTTGGTTCCTGTGGGCCAGCCCATTGTTATAGCCGGTGCCACGGGAAACCTCATCTAGGGTTTCCCATGCTGTTGCTGTTGGTCCCCACCATCTCGTGCCACACCTTTTCCTTTAGAAGGAGGGAAGACCACCCCGTTTATGAGACTGGGGAATCGTTACATTCAAGGAACGGTCAGTAAGACAGGGATACAATGTCGAGAGCAAATCTGAGATGGCCCAAAGCTCACTGGAATTGGCAGTGACAGTTTCTCTTCGTTCTTGGAGAAGACCCTAAGCCGGCAGGCCCCGTGTAGATGAGCTCAATAGCATCTTGAGTGGGGCCATCGACAAGAAGAGACTGGAATGCTAGAGTTTCAAACCCAGAGGCTCTCCTGGGCACCGTGGAGTTTGAGATGCAGGGGCTTTGGAGACAACAGGCCCTCAGCCCCCGACCAGAAGACGGCAGCCTTCCAGCCTGTGACCTCCCTGGCGCTCTTCTGTAAAATGAGCGTTGACTCCTTTCGAAGAAGTCCTTCTGAGATGCAAGTGTAACCGCAAATGCAACCCGTCCTTTTTATAGCTGATGGGCTGACTCGCCTGTTTCGGTGTGGATATGTATGGCCCTCAGTCCCCTTGACCCTCTCACCCCAGAATTGTCATTACAAAAATAACTAAATAAAAGCACCATCAATGCTAAGACATTTCTCTTTATTGAAAAGAAGCCAATATACAGGATATAAAGGGCATGATATTTACAACAGAACAGTAAACAGGTTGGTGTTGGGTAGGATCAGTAGTCTCGTGAGTATAAACACCCCCCACCCCCTTCCCCATTGATGGCAGACCCTGCTGGCAGACAGACAGCAACAGGAGGGTGGGATGGGACCACGGGATATAAAGTCTCCCTGGGTGGGGTTAAAAATCAGGTAGATGGTCAAATGTCCACACAAGGGTCTTGGAGGTCCAGGGTGGGGGGTGGGGGGTGTACCTTTGCCTCATTTCTTAGAGGGATTGAAACAAGGGATTTTCCCAAGACCAGTACAACCCACTGTGAGCCTGGGGCATCCCTTCCCTGGAAATTCCCTTCCACAGAGACTATGTCCCGACCAGACTCTCCCCGCAAGAGAGCAGTGTCTGAGGGCAGAAGAACAGGATGGGAGGGAGTCCCCAGTGCCTCATCCCTCAGCCTGGAAGAACAAGGACACCAAGACTGCTCGAAGTCCCTGGCCTGCAGGGGGAACAGCCAGGGCTGGGCTCGACCTTCTCCCAGCATTCCCACCTCTGCCACAGCTGCCTGACAACCTGCAACCCACGAGGATGCAGGCACAGAGGTAACCAGGTGCTCCACAGTCCAGAGCCCACGGCCACATTCTGCTGCTGCCTGGCCCACGCCCAAACACCCCCTGCATGCTAATGCATCTTGGCCGAGCAGAGTCAGGCAGCAAACCCTCCCCTACCCTGAGTCAGTTGGCAGAGCTGGCTCTCCACCTTGGTACCCTCATCTCCCTCCACCGGCCCAGTTGTTAATTCTCTACTGCTCCTTCCACAGACTTCTGAGGACCAAGGAGCTGGGGGTCAGGGAAGGGACAGGGAGGAAGGAAATGGGTGAGATGGGTCCCCCACACTGCAGAAGTGGCTCATCGCAGTGGATGACTAGGAAGGGCGAGTGGGAGGGCAGGCTGAAGGGAACAGATGACATTAAAACCAGCAGCAACATGCACAACATCTTGTCCAGAGAAAACACGCTGGGTGCCACAGCCGCCCACCCTGAATTTAAAAACCTTCCCTTTCATAAAAATAGATGAGTCTCTTGCTTTTTATAAATAGATTACATTTAGCTTAAGTTATACCTTACATAATTATCCCCTACCCTACGCCCTCGACCCCTCATCCCAAGCCAAAGTGGTCGGATTCCCATAGCTGTGAGCCACGCCCACAGAGCAAAGTCTGTGTTGAACATACAAGTATGTATACAGCTTCCGCCTGGCTCAACCACAAGAAAACAAAATGTGTGTGTCTGCTGATCTTCCCCACCCCACCCCAACCCCTGTTTCAAGTTTCAAGTGTGTGTGTGTGTGTGTGTGTCCCACCATCTGGGAGCCAAAAGGAAGCCCCTCTCCCCATCCCTTCGCAACCCTCTCTTTTGAACCAACCCCCCACCAAAAAAACCCAGGAGTGTGAGAGAGGGCAGCAAAGGAGAGCCAGTCTGAGAGCAATTGTAAAATACCAGTGTCAATATGACACTGGGCTGAGAGAGAGAGAAGAAAGCCAAACAAAGTATGTACAGCTTTACGAAGGGCAGGCCAGGTCGTCGCCAGCCGGCCGTGCTGCCCGGGGAGCGGTGGGGTCTTTCTTGGCAAGCTGTGGGCTCGTGGTGAGGAGGGAAGCAGGACCCACTGACAACGAATTCAAAAAAGAACTGGGTGAGGAGTCAGGCAGGAGGGCCAAGACCCCGGAACCAGCCCAGGAGGCAGGGCGGCCCCACCTCTGGCTGCTCCCCCTATTTACCCGTCCGGGATCCTTGCTCCCAGTGGTGAGCAGCTGGGAGGCGCTCTCAGCCCCTGCCACCCCCAGTCAAACGCACAGCACCCTCATCTCCAAAGATAAACAACCTATGCATACACGGGGGGAAATGGGGCAAAAATAATACACCAGATGCCAGTCGCCATGACAACCCTCACACGACGGCTTTGCAGTCTGGACTCTAAAGCTAGGTCCGTCATCCTCTCGCCACCTCGAGGAACCACTCGGGGCTGGCTTCCATGCTGCCTGCCTGGCCTCCAAGCCATGCCATCCAACACCCCCCCTCCCCCAGCCCTGGAGAGAGGAGACCCCCGAGGGCGGCCGCCATCCGGCCCTCAGGAAAACGGAAGTCTTTTCAGCAGCTGCGGTCCAGGCCCAACTGGCTCTGATAACCTTTGGTTAAAATAGACATAAAAGAACAACAATAACAACAACCACCACAATTGTAAGGTACATTTGAACCCTGTAACCTTTAGACTGAGGGTGGGCGGAGAGGAGAGAATGCTCTCACCCCAAACCTACTGTCTGCCAAGTTCCGACCAAAGGGCTGTTAGGCGAACACGCAGATCCTGGCATGGAAGCCGCGTGGCCAGACTGCCCCCAGGGAACCAGCAGGGTGTCCCCCACCCAAAAACACAAGTGAAACAACCTCATGACAAAAGGCCACCAAGGTCTGATAAATTAGGCTGACGCTAGCACACTCTCGTACACTCTTTCCACACACATATATATATATATTACGAATAGTATGTACAATGGCTAAGACTGAAAAACAGAGGATGGGCATGGAAGAAAGAAAAGGCCCTTCAAGGTTGCTGGTGCCCTGGGGAGGACAGACAGGGGTCCCTGTCCCACTCAAAGCCCTCTTGTGTCTCCAGATGCATAAGGGGATATCGAGTTCTGGTCCCTGGGCGCATTTTGCTCCTTGACCTCCAGGGGGCACTCCTGGGTCAGCAAAAGCAAAATCCCCCACCACTGTAGGATTTACAAAGGAAAATAAGGCCTACTCCAAGAAGGGCGCTGGCGGTGGTCTCAACAGAGAGCCCTACAGCTCAGGCCCACAGGAATCCAGAGAAGCTATGGCTCAAGTGACCCCCCCAACCCCATTGGCCAGCCAGTCCATGCAGGATGAAGAGATGTATGCTCATGAGCGGAACAAAGGGCAGCCACCCTGGCTCAAGCTCCTAATGGACCATCTCCAAACGGCCAGCGGTCCTCATCACCTCCCGGCCCTCCCCTTCCAGAGGCCAAGCAACGGGCAACTTGAGGTCTAGGAGAACCAAGATGGTGGGGCCAGCGCTCACCAGGGGTGGGTGCCCGGCCTGGCCCCTTCAGCCTTCTGCACAGAGCAAGCACAGGCGCTAGTCCTCTGGAGGTGGCCAGAGCAGGGAACAGAGCATCAAATCACCAGAGCACAGAAGACCTTCCCCCCAGGCTCCCAAGGGCCCAAGCAGAACCCAGGGCGAGCTACCAGCCGGGGCCAAACTCCCCTCCTGAGAGCCTGCTCGCTCTCGGGGGCTGCGCGGCAGAGATGCAGAGATGGCCCCAGCCCCCTCCCCCCAGATCTGGGGGACACCGTAGGTCCAGGAGAGGCCAGCCTCCCGCAATGAAATAAGGCAAGCTGCTTGTTTTTGTTTTTTTGCATAGTAGTATAAACAGTGAGGCCCCACCTTCCCCACAGTGCCTCGTCCCTTCCTGTTGCCACTTAATCGAAAAAGAAAAGGAAGAATTGCTTTTGCTCCCTTCTTCCACCTTTCTCTCCTTCCGTGAGGGGAATGAGAGGTGTGGGGGAGGTCTCCTCACCTGGGCTGGGCAGGCTGGGGGCGCTCAGCTCCTGTTTGGGAGAGGCCCACTCCTCCCAGCCCCACAGTGGTCCAGGCTGACAGGTAGAAGAAGGGAGGGCAGAGCTCACGGCCAATCAGGGGAGCAGGTGGGAAGGGGGAAAAACACACAGGCTACCACGGGATGGGGGAAGGGAGGGGGTTGCCCACAGCTTAGAGTTTTGTATCAAAACACCTGCTAGGAATAATCCTTTGGAGCTCAAAGTGGCTCAGCTTAAGGGAGAAGGCACGGTTAAGACTGCATCACCCAGACCGACGTCTGCATGGGTACATGGAGAACAATAGAAATAGACAGCACCATTCCTTGGGTGGAGGGGTGGAGAGGGGGCACCGGTCGGTGGGGGGAGTGTGGAAGGAAGGAAGGAAGGAAGGAAGCAGCAGTCCCTTGGGCCTCCGGAGAAGGAAGGGGTTGGCAGTCTGTGTGGTGAGGGCGTGAACCCCCCCTCGGGGGCCTTGGGGCCCCAGGCAGGCAGGGCCCCATCTCTAGCACCACCAGGCGCCGCCGCCGGGGCCTCGGTCATCAGCTGACCATGGGCTCGACATCTGCCTCCCGCTCAAACTCGTCCTGGTTCTCGTCTGTGCTTCCTGAGTCACTGCTGGCCACCGAGCTGGGCGACGGGGAGTTTCTGGAAGGCAAGTGGACACGGGGATTCTTAGAAGGCAGCCTGGGGAACCCCGGAAGGATTCCAGGAGCCAGGAAGGCTGAGCCTTCACTCCGGCAAAATCGCACCTCAGGGCGGGGCCCTCCTCTCAGACTGCCCTCTCTCGCTGCTCGGCTCAGGGTCTAAGCGCTTGAGGTGAACGTGGCCTTGAGAGCCTGTGGAGCAGGCCCCTGCACTGGCCTTGAATTGGTCTGAGGGCTCTGGCTTCTCCAGACAGAAAGCCCCAAGGGCAGGGATCATGGTTAATCCGGGTTCTTCTCCCTAGTCCCCGAGCACAACTCTGGGCCCAGCATGGGGGTGTTGCTTCCCATAGAGTCAGCTCTGCCTCCAAGTGGCCCCACAGGGTTTCCCTCACTGTCTTTATAGGGGCAGAGAGCCAGGTCTTTCCTCCTGTGTGCCACAGGTGGGTTACAACTGCCGACCTTTCAGTAAGTAGCCGAGCACTTAACTGCTGTGCCACCAGGACCGGTGCTCAGTCAATCCCAAAGAACTTGAATTCATAGGGCAGGCCACATGGACGAACTTGAATTCTGGCTCTGTGACTGATGAGTCGGGCGTCCTTCCACACGTTACTCGTGTCCTCCCTCTGGACAGCAGAGCTAGCCCCAGGGGCCCTGAGGCAGCAGGTGAGTTAAGGCAGCCCACGCTGACTGAAGGCCGCGTCCATACTGCTGCCCATGGAGCTGTGCCCCTCTTTTAGAGCCTGAGTCCCAAGCACAGCCATGCCGTCACAGAAAGACGGACAATTACAGTTAACACTTGTGCTTCATGCCAGGCAGCCTCTCATTGGACTAAGGGACTGTTTTCCCCAGCTGGGCTGCATGTTCCCTGAAGACAGGGACTCTGTCTTGGTCTCCGTGTCCTCCAGAAAAGAAAAAGGGCCTGATGTTGGCCAGCCGACCAGCCCCGGGTTAAAAGATGGGAACAGAAGGGCAATTGCTTCCTATAGACAAACGGGAACGTTCCCCCCAAGAGGAAACGGTGGAGCTGGCGGTCCCTTGCCTGCTTCCCCCATTCTCCGCATCAGCAGAAGGCAGGTGTGCATGCCATGAAGGCCGGGGTTCTAGGCTCACGGCCTTGCACACAGTGGGCCCTCAACAAATGAAGCTGAAGCAACAGCAGCGAGGGTTTGTCCTGGTGGCTGGTGGCTATGAGATCAGATGTGTACGGTGCCCAGCGCATCATAGGTGATATAATCTAGGATGGAGGGGGGGCGATGGATTGCTAGAGGGAAGGATCAGTGGCAGGAAAGGCTGGAGGATGAGTGGACGGGTAGACAGAGGACAGGCTGGGTGGATGCAATGTGGCCAGGCTGTAAGTGACCCCACTGACCCCCCCAGGAGCCCACAGGGGCGGCCGCACCTGTCTGCCGAGCCCTTGATGAGCCGGCGGCAGGTCTCCATCTGCACGTCCAGGCCCCGCTTCATGCTGCACATCTCCATGTACTCGTGCAGGTGCCGGTTCATGTCGCTCTTGGCTGTGGCCAGCTCCAGCTGAGGGGAAGCCACGTGGGATAAGGGGGCGGGCACATCATCCTTGCAGCAGACCCCTCCTCGCTGCCTCCGTGGTGGCACCATCATGGTGGCCATTGATATGCCCTGGCGACCCAGCCTCATGGACAACAAGCTCCCTCGGTCTGTGGACCCATCCCCCTGCTCTCTACCTCCTGGCCCATAGCTAGTCGAAGCAGCTAGCACCCCAGGGACGCCTGCCCAGATAAGACCACCCAGGTCTGACACCTCCGAGCCCCATCGTCTCTCGGCTCCTTTATACGGAGTTGCTTATCGAAGCCCTGGGGTCTGTCCCAGATTTCACACCCTTCTCTTCTTTCTTCAGGCTGACCCTAGTAATGACTAGCTGGCTTCGGTGAGACAGAATTGGGCTTGAGCCATGCTCCCTGGCTGGGAGGCCCTGGGCAATCCCTCGGTCTCTCATTCCCTCTTCTGTAGGACGGGGCTACAGCACCCACACATGGGCGTGTTGAGGGTACTGGGAGGGTGTACTTGGCAAGGGTTTCTCAGTGCCTGGGATCCCTCCATCCCACTGCTCAGGGGGGTCCTCATCTCTGGTTCTCTGTGATGAGCAGGGCTTGCTAGCCCCATATGACAGACAGCCTAGGAAACATTCAAAGGATGGTGTGAGCTGCCTAGAGCCAGGGAGGGGTCAGCAGCCTCCAGGTTGGTTGCCGGCCTTACCTCAATCTGACCTATCGTTTCCTGGTACTCCTTGTCTCTTGTCTTGAAGAAGGATTCGGTCTCGTGGATCAAGTTACCCAAGTTCTCCTCCTGCTGGGAAAGGAGAACAAAGGGGTTGATTGAGCTGGCTGGTGGGGGCCACAGAGGGGAACCGACAGCAGGGGCTGGGAGTCTGGGAGGCCAGGCCCGGCCTACCTCCCCCTGAGGGTCGATGGACGGGTTGCAGTTGGTGAAATCTTCCCAGAGCAGCAGCGTGTCCTCATTCTCTTCCCAAGTCAGGCTGTCACAGTCATCGTCGAAGTCAAAGGTCTCCCGCCTGTGAGGGTGACACATGGGGGGATGACTGAGCAGCCGCCCAGGCTCCAGGGGCCCACAATGTGGTCAGGGAAGCAACCGGGAAAAGGAGCGGTGGTGGCCAAAGGGGGACATTCAACCTGGCCTTGGAGTTGAACTCTTCAAGACACAGATCATTGTTGTATACTATTTGTACCATTAGGTGAATATCAATACTAGATTTTAAGATTTCCCTAAGCTCCACCTAGCAATAGCACACACACACACACACACACACACACACACACACACACCCGCTTGTGCATTTCCCAGCTATTTCCTGAGTCTGCTTTGACCAAAGTGACTCACGCAGGCCTTCGGCCACTTAGGCTGAGGCTTTAGAGACAAGGGAAACTGCAGCTCAGTCACTCACCGGTCTGAAGTCACTCAGCTCACGGCAGCAGAAACGGGCTCACACCCAGAGCGTTCTGCTGCCGACAACCGTTCTTCCCCGCGTTACATCACCAAGCACCCACTCTGTGCTGGGGCCGGCTGGCTTAGATGAAAAACGCAATTCTTCTCACCCTGACCACAACCCTACGAGGTGGACAGAGCCCTGATTCCTATTTTACGCTTGAGGAGACCGAGGCGCCAAGGGTGAGGTGGTGGCCTTGGTGACCAACGCTACAGGCTGGCAACTGGATTTGAATTCGGAGCCCGTGTGATGAAGGAGCCCCATCGGTGCAATAGTTGCACCCTCGGCTGCAAGCTGCACAGCTGTGCAGGGAAGCTCTGCAGGCCAACTGCTGTCCAGCTGGCGGCTGCTGTTCTGGTTGAGCGTGTGCCCAGCCAAGCCCAGCACACAGCCACCCTTCCTGGTGGGGTAACGGTGTGTCTGGAGCAGCCCCGCAGACAAACCCAGGCAAACCCAGTTGGCTGGTGCCCCTGCTCCCAGGTCTGGGAAGCTTTTGAACGGCGCACTCATGTTCAAACTGTGCTTTGTCTTGACCAGCACGGGGACGGTGTGACCTGCCCGGTGGGGTTCCCAAGGGTGTCGCCTTGGAGACAGCAGATTTTCAGGTCTCTTCTCCCAGAGCTGCTGGTGGGGTCGACGTATAGACTTTTCACTGCAAAGACTGCAGCCTGGGCACCCCCTTGGCGGGCGGGTGACTGTCACATAGGGTCACTATGGGTAGCAGTCGCCAATTGGATGGCACACAGCTATAAGGACTCATTCGACCTGGGAGCAGGATTTGCCTGGGTCTGAGGGCTTTCTCCAGACACTGTTCCCCCAGCTGGAAGGGCCTTTGGATGACCTCATCCAACGCAGACAGGGGGTCAGTCACTTGAGCCAGGAAATAAATCAGTGCCGAGAAGGACACAGATCTCCAGTCCAGATGCCCATCCCACACTCTCCCTATTGCTACACTTCCTCCCTAAACTCCTTCCCGGATCCCCCGGGCACTGCTCCCAAGTCAGACAATGGATCAGACCGGGAAGCACCGGGCAGGGTCCAAGAAGAATTTCTAGTGGAAAGCTGCTTGGAACGTTTCCTGGGGGTTCTGGACCCCAACACAGTTCCTTCTGGTGCCTGTAGGTGGCTCTGTGAGTCCAGGCACCAGCACCGGAGGCTGCACGGGAGGGAGACCAGGCTGCCAGGCAGGCACTTGGGTCACCACTGGTGGGAGCCTGCGCCCTTGAGGGCCACCCATCACCACCCGCATACTCAGCTCCTGACTTCACTTCTTCTCCATGCCTGGGGTCTGCCGACCATCACAGCTGAAGAGAGGGTCGGGATGGGCAGAGGAGGGGCCTGGAGGAGGGTGGATGGGGTTGAGGAGGACTGGCCAGGGAGGCAGAGAAAGTAGCCACGTCCTCCTCCTCTCTCTGGTCTGAAGCCCAAGCAACCAATTTTGATGAAAACAAGACCGGGTTTGAAGATGGGCGCGTTATTCAAATGACTCCCAAGAACTCGCAGGGGGCTGTCTCGCTGGGTCTCAGCCCACAGCAAGCCAAGACACCAGGACGAGAGGCCAGGGGCCCCTCTGGGGTGGGGCCAGCTCAACCTTGGCTGGGATCGCAGCAAGGGGTGGGCGTGTAAATGGGAGAAACTTTTTTTTTAACTCGGCCAATTTTACAACAGATAAATCAAATTTAATATTAATTCGAATCAGACCTGACATGCACCCGTGTTCTCAGCATCCGTTTTTGGCTTGGTTGCTGGCTGAACATACCCCAGGAGCAGTTGCTGGGGGGAGGGGAATCTCCCCCGGAGCCGCCTTGCTTACAGATTCCCGGTGACTATAAAAATGCAGGGTGAGAATTTCCCCAGAGAAGCCCATTCATCCCAGCAATCAGGTCTCAGGGAGGTCTGAGGAATACCAGAGCCCGGCATGGTTCCTTTCAAAAGCCCTTAGTTGTTCAGCAGCCAAAGATCAGAGCATGAGATCTGGGATGACGTCAGAATCAAGAGTTGGGTTATGTGTGTGTGTGGGGGGGTGTCTCTATAAAACCAACCCAAACTCACTTCCACGAGTCAGTGCTGAGCCGCAACAACTGTGGCGAGCAGGGTAGAACTACCCCTCTGGGTGTCTGAGGCTGCAGAAAGCCTTGTGGAGCAGCTGGTGGTTTTGAACTGCTGACCAACATACAACCACTATTATGTATGCCACCAGGGCTGGGACCACTGGGGGGGGGTCTCTGTCACCGTAAAGTAACACACCCCCTAAATACAGCTCCCACCCCAGTTCTGCTTCAAGGGGAAGATGAATACAAGGAAATCCTAGGTGGAGAAAAACCCCTTTGTACCCCCGTAACTACCCCTGCCCCTGTGTCCTGGCCTCCAGAGTCAGGGGTCAGGGGCAGTGTGCAGAGGCAGACAAGGGACATCTCTCTCCAGCACAAAGATACTAATGTAGAGGACAGAGCACTAGACCAGGATTCAGAAGGCCTGGCTCTATCACAAATCCTGTGGGTTCTTGGGCCAGTCATTGGCCCTCTCTGAGCCTTACTGTCAGGAAGAAGCTGGCTCTCTGGGTTCTGTACTGCTCTGCACCAAGCCCTGGGGCTTTGCAGAAGAGGTGCGTGCCCAGGCTTTTGAAATGAATATGACATCAGGGCACCTGCTAACAGGTGTGCGCCCTTCTGGAAGGTTCAGAGCCAAGGACTCAAACCTTGCCCTGCAGTCAGAAAGCAGGGCTGCAGGGGTGGCTCCAGGCCAGAGAACTCCCTCTCAGCCTTGAGACCTTGATGTAGGGGTTTCTGGATGTCTGGTATCTGGATGTAGGCACTATGAGGGCAGCCAGAGGCAGGCTAGAGCAGGCTGGTGGGCCCGGGGACAAGGCAGAGCCCACAAACTCAGCCCCAGCCTTCCCTTCTGACTCCAAGCCCTTAGGCAGGTCACTCCGTGCCAGCTGTTGCTCCTCCCTCTCCCCTCTAGAGCAGAAGACGGCTTCCAGGTACAGATGGGTCAGCATTCAGAGCTTGGCACTCAACAAGTCCCAGCTGCCCTGCCATGCTAGCCCCAGGGACACAGCACCTACCCAGTGAGGCTCCAATAAACCAGCTCTTGGGGTGGGGGTGGGGGGTCTTGATTTGGAGTAGTAGCTATGTCACACCATGGTGAATTTTAAGCTGCTAAGAGGGCATCACTGGATGTGGAGTGGGAGGAAAGCACCTGAACCCCTAGGCCAGATTCAACCACTGAGGCAGGCACTTTACAAAGGGAGAGGAGCAGGCAGGTAGGCCTGGCACCTGTTAGCTGAAGGGCCTGTCGAAGTCATTTCCCTGCTCGGTCTCAATCTTATGGCCACTAAGTGCGGTGACAGGGCTGGCCTCTCGGGTTGGTTATCAGGAGTCAAAGAAACCATGCTGGGAAACATCTGGCTTATGGAAGCCACCCCGGGAGAGCTGAGCGCTCTGCCAGCCCTGGTGGTATAGTGGTTATACAAGGTCAGCAGTTTGAAACCACCAGGTGCTCTGTGAGAGAAAGATGGGCTTTCTACTCCCGTAAAGAGTTAGTTTCGAAACTCACAGAGGCAGTTCTATCCTGCCCTACAGGGTCGCTGTGAGTCAGCATCGACTCGATGACAGAGTTTGATGTTCGGTTTGGTGGTGGCTCCGTGTGCAGAGCAGCTCAGCCGTCCCCCACAAGGCAGCTGCGAGGGGGTAAGATCAGGACTGGTCCATGAGTGTGGCCACCCCTACCAGGATCTCTGTCCCTGGGTGGTAGAAAGACTGCCTGCATGCCACTGCCGGCTGGAAGGCTGGAGGTTCAAGTTCCACCCAGAGGGCCCTAGGAATGAAGTCCTGGCAGTCTGTTGCTGAAAATCCACCCCACCGAAAGCCCTAGGGGGCACGGTCCACACTGATGCAGGGTGGGGTGGGGGTGGGGCTGTCACTGTGAACCTGCAGCAACTGTGCACAACTTGGCCTTTCTGGCCTCATGGAGTCACCAGATAACCCCCAACTGGAAGCCCGCCCCTTCTTCTGGTGGGCGAGAACAGGCCCTCCCAAAGCTGAAGGGCCTCCCTCCTCCCGCCTGCCCTGTCCACCAGCTGCCTCTGAAGCAGCTTGCTGAGGGCAAGGAAAGAGAGGTGGGCAGGTACCAAGGAAGGCAGGGCCACCGGAGGCGACTGTCGCCACCTGCTCCTGGCCACTGTGCTGAAGTGGGGCTCCCAGGGAGGGCGGAGCAACTCGACTTTGTAAATGTGGCTTTCCCCAAATTCTCCGTGCTGACAGTGCATCCCAGTGCGTTGGAAGCCCCTTGCTGCCACTCATGACTCCTTTGCTGCTCAGCCCACCCACTCAGTTTTGGGGCCAGCAAGGTGGGGGCGGGGCACTCACAGCTGGTTGAACATGCGCTTCATCTCATCAGTGATGTTCATCGAGCCAACCTCCTCGTCTGAGAACCGGTTCGCCTCTCCGTCCTGCTCCGAGATGTCATCGTCCGACACTGCTTTCCGCTCTTTCTTTTTGGGGACCACCTGAGCCGGGAAGGAGGAGATGGCGGTAAGTGGGAGTCTCTGCTGGGGTGGGGGTGGGGCGGGCCACTGAGGAAGGAAGCCGTATCCTCTGGCAGATGGAGCGTAGCCGTGGGCAGGAAATGTGCAAGGGTCCTCTACAAAGCAGGCGGCATTAGCAGGCAGCACGAGGAGGGAGGCATGCAGGGTGGAGGCATGGACCCTTCCCCCACCCTGGAAGGCCTGCTGGCCCTGCACACCAGTCAGAGAAGCATCCCTACCACCTGGGGAGCAGAGCCACCTGGGGAGTCTCAGAGCCAGCCAGAGAGACAGAGAACCCCTCGTGAGGCCAAGACGACACTTTACATTCAAAGGCCATAGGCAGTGGCCCCACAACACCAAGCTTCCACTCCACATGGACAAGAATGTGGGCCAACAGCTGCAGAATTGATCTCCTGCTTCCCAGCAGGCTGGGGAGGGCAGTGAAAGTCCCGGGGGAGAGGAGAGAGGGTCCCCAGAAGGCCACAACTTGCCCAGCTACGTCCAAGGTCACACACTGAAAGCGACAACACAGCCCTGGCCTCAAGCAAAAGCAGCAGCTTCTGAGAACGACAACGCGAGCGCCCTTTGGTCAGCAGAACTGGGCGGACTTCGCCCCTTCGCCCCTCTGGGATGGAGCAGTCAGACTAGGCGACGGAGCCACAGGGACTACGCTCTTGGTCCCTGGGCTATAATGGCAGGGGGAGGCCACGGCGGGTCAGTGCTACCTCTTGGGGAAGGGATGTGAGCAGGTCGTGGAGGAGTCAGGGGCTGGCCAGACGAGGGTCAAGGCCAGGGCCGAGTGGGAGGGAGAGGAGCGGGGGGCTGGGGGCACGGTGAGCAGGTGACCCTATTCACCTGGAAGATCTTGGACACGTCTTCGGAGTTCCGCTGCTGTGCGACATCGCACAGCTTGGCCGTGATGTCGATGCGGCGGCAAATGTCCATGTCCACCTTCATGGCCTTCTCCTGGATCTTCGTGTCCAGATCTGTCATGGGCTGCAGGGGGACAGCAGGGTGTTATGTGAGCCACGAGGGGAGTGGGGTGGGCAGCTGGGGAGCCCTGAGCATCTCCTTGGGTGTGGAGTAGGGAGCGAGGTGAGAGCACAGTGCTGTCTCCCAGGCTGGAAGGCACCCTCCTGCGGACACCGAGTCCGGGTGTGTTTCGTGGAAGCAAAGAGACGTGAAAGGCAAGTTGCACTGTGGAAAAACTGCCCACTGCCCAGCCTGGCCCCTACGCAGGGGCTTGCCACCCAGCTCTGGCCTGGACCCCTCCTGGCTAACAGCAGAGGTCCACTGGAAGGGAAGGGAAGTCCTCCTGGATCTAATTGAGGGGACGAAGCCAGGTGGACTCCACCTGGGGAAGCTCCTTCCTACCACACCCAGCCCATGGCCCCTGTGCAGCCGTCAGAGCCCTGGTGGGAAGGCTGTCTCTTCGCTGCCAACAGTACGTCACCACACACACACACACCACGGTTCTTATAGGGACCCTGGGACATCACAAGGGCACACGCTGGCCTTTCTCAGCACTCCAAACCACCCTGTAGGCAGCCACTGGGCCTGGAGCCTCTAGGGCTGCGGCCACTGTGCGCGGGGTTCTTCACCCCACGATGGCCCAGTTCAGACACAGACGACCCCCACCCACCCTCATCGACCACGAGCTAGGAAGGCGCCCTAGCGAATGCACGCAGGCCATCGCGGGAGTCCTGGGGCGGGATGGGTTAAGCGGCGGATTGATGCATCTCTACTCAGACGGAGGTGAAGCGGAAATGAGGAGGGGGTAGAGGGCACGGGCGGAGGGCGCGGGCTCTTCGATGCATCAGTGCGTCCGGCATCCTCACGGTCAAACGCAGCAGCCAGGATTCTACTAGAAGCCGAGCTCCGGCCGCCTCTCTGAGTGAATGAAGCGTTTTTGCATGACGGGTTGGGGTGGGAGTGGGGGTGGGAGAGTCGTGACGCCGGGGGTGTGGCGGCTGGTGGCACTTACGTCACTCATGAGTCCCTTAAACACCACCAGCTCGGCTTTGAGCCGCTCAATCTTCTCGTTCATCTCCTCCTGGATGGCATCAGCCTCCTGTGCCGCCTGCGGGAACAGAACAGGAGGCTTAGGGCGCTGGGCACCTTGGAGGGTTCGGGGACCACGGCACCTGGGTCCAGAGCCCTGGGCACCCGGTGTCCACCCAGGGTAGGCACTTCTCCCTCCCAGCCTGGCCTCCCGGAGGCCTGCTGACCTCGGGGCATCGCTCGGCCAAAACCACTCTTCAAAGGGCTATTTATCGCCTGAAGCAAGTTCGTGGCCGATATTAAGGGAATGGGGGGGGGGGCGTGGAAGCAAACGGGCCCGGCATGTTAAAATATTAGGCCGAATGCTACAAAATGGCTAACGGTTGACCTTTTCTGAACTCAAAAATGAAACAGCAAAACAAAGAGGGGGCAGGTGCTGCATCCCGAGCTCAGCGGCTCCCTCCGAGCGGGCGTGCATGGAACAGGCAAGGGTCCTGAGCCCATTCGAGTCGTGGGTGATGACAGGTAACTCTGGGGGTCACTTTGATTCTCCTCTCCGTGCCCTCCTGAACAGCCCACGTACTTGACTGCAAACATGCCTTTTTGTTTATTAAATCACATCTTATTTATTCAAGAAGGGGGAGCATTCGCTCTCTTCCGTCTACACATCTCTGTCATTTGAACCTGTCAATGTACCTTTTCAGGCAAATGCTTTAAATATCAAAAATTATTTCCTCCCCGGAAGAGTTTTTCCTTTGCGTCTTCCCACAGGCTCGCTACTCTCATTCCCAGTGGACTGAGGGGAAGGCAGAGGCCAGGCAGGTGAGTGGGCACACGGCCGGGCAGAGCCGGGATGCAGAGCTGCTGGGCAGAGCCCCAGGGGCAGGTCCTCAAGCCTGCTATGGAGAGTGCCCGTGGTCTGGGTGCCCACCCTGTCTCAGGTGTTCAGCCCTGAATCATCCAGCCGGATAGAGGGCAGTGCTGAGCCAGCAGGGGAATAGCCTCTTGGCTCCATAGAGAGACTGGGGTACCAGGAGATGAGGCAGGGTGGACGTTGGGCTGGGAATGAACGCCTGGCTTCGCCCCATGAAATTCGCGTCCCTTGGCCACATGCCGCCCCCCCCCCCTACCTATCTCTTCTGGTCTGGTCTTCTCGGGCTCTTACCTCCTGGAGTGTGTCCACCATGGTCTGCAGGTTCATGCGCTTGGCGAGCTCCTCCTCCCATCTGCAAGAGCCAAGAGGGACAGGCGGTCAGACAGTGACCTCCCTACTGCAGTCTGGCCAGCAGACACAGTCATTACCCCCCAAGACCTGCGCTGGGCTGAGCAGGAAGATGCGGGCATGAATGCACCCCTGCCTGCCTGCCGCAGAGCTCCTGGGCTGGGGTCCGGGCCTGGATGGGAAGGCAGCCGGGTCAGCACATAACCACGGCAGCAGATGGAGACAACGAGTGCCACATCTGAGGTGTGCGCATCGCCCTGTGGGGAGACTGAAGCAGGAGGGCCCACCCCCTCTGTCTCTGTGCAAACTGTACAGTACTGTACAAACGTTGCTGCCCCTCCTGGGGCCACACCGGGCAGTCTCAAGCAAAGCTGGCCCTCAGGAGCCAAGCTGCAGACAGCCCCGGCGGCCCTTTCTTCAACCATCAGAAATAAACCGATGGTACTAAGCATTTGCCATTTCAAATCAGCTTGACTACAGCCTATGCTAACCACGGTAGAAATCTACTTAGCTATCATGGCCCCGTTTCATGGATGCGGTGACTGATGAGGTTCAGGGACGTGAACTGCCCTTCCCAAAGAAAGGCCTGGTGATCTGCTTCCAAAGGTCTCAGCCAAGAAAGCCCTGCCAGGCAGCGCTCCTCTGACTCGCAGTCACAGCTAGTCAAAGCTGACGGATGGCTACTGCTTTGGTTTGCTTCACAGGTGTCCCCGAAAGGAGCCCGCGGCACAGCGGCTGAGCATTCCATTGCTAACCAAAAGATTGGTGGTTTGAACCCACCAGCCACTCCGGTCTGAGTCTGCAAAGATTTATGACTTCAGAACCCCTATGGAGCCATCCCACCTGTCCCTTGGGTCACTCTGAATCGGGGTCACCTCCATGGCAAGGCGTTTAGGTTTTGCTTTGGCTGTGCGTGGAGGAATGCGATCCAACGGCAGAGGCACTGTCTCCCCCTCGTGTTACAGGTGAAAAAAGCAACACACGGGGTCATGTTCGAGGATGGGTGGAGCACAGACTCGAACTCAGGCAGCAAGCCTCTTAACCACCACCTCGCAGGCTCCCCTGGGCTGGGAACCACCAAAGCCCAGGACCTTAGCTGGACTTTATGCAGACAGAACCCCTCCCGGTTCCCTCCCTCCCAGGGCAGACAAAGCTCTCCTTCCCCACCCTCAGAGCCTCAGAGCAAGGAGGTCTGGAAGCCTTTTAGGATGTTGTCGGGCTGGCTAAAAATAGGCCAGAGGGGAGGAATGGATAAAGAGTGGGTTACGTCACTGGTTTTGGAAACAAGAGAAAACGGATACTGTTTGCACACACAGAGGAAAATTCCTCCTCTCCCCCACACGAGATGGCCTAGCCAGGGCTCCCGGAGGACACACACCCCCCTCTGACTGGCTGGCTCTGGTCTCTCACCAGTCCCTATGGTCACTGCCAGGCTAGCTGCTGGGGGTGGAAGCTTGGGCTCCAGGGTCAACAGCCAACAGGGCAGCAAGGCTGGGGGTGAACGGTATAGAAGATATAGGAGAGGCAGTGAGAGAGCCCTGCAGGACAATCCTCATTGTATACTTAGGGAAACTGAGGCCAAGGCATTTGTCCAAGGTCATCCTCCTTGTCCAGGGCCAGGACTCTAGCCCCAGACCACCTCTCGCTAAGAAAGGCAGGCTCAGGTCCAGGGCAGGAATCCTCCGTGGGAGGAGCCTGCAGACCGCCCCCCGCTCCGCCCAGTAGCACAGGCGTCTGGGGCTTCCCTCCAGGGCAGTGCAAGCCGGGAGCACAGGTCCCGAGCTGAATCATCTCTCTTGGCCGAGCAGCTCTGCTGGAGAATGGGGACCTCACCCCAAAGCGCTGAGCAGAGCTTGTGGGCCAGCCAAGCCACCGTGTCTGACAGGAGCAGCAGGGAAGAGGCAGAGGGGCACATTTTCTCCCTGACACTGGAGGCTGGCCCCCTGTCGTGCGTGTATGTGTACATACACACACACACAAACAAACACTACCCATTTCCCACTTATCTAGACGGCTTTTTGGGCATAAGACACTGCATCCCCCCACCTCTACCCTTCTTATGATCCACCTTCTCATGGGGAAGGTGGGGGCAGAAGTGGACACGCCCACTGAGGCCCACATGCATGAGCAGCAGCTATTCATGAGTGACACAGCTCGATCCGCACACCCTGAGCTCCGGGCCTTAGACACAGACACCACTGCTTTCAGCTGCACTGAGAACTACTAACGCAAGCCTAGTTTGCAGATGAGGAAGCTGGGGGTCTGAGAGGAGCAACGACTTATCTAAGGTCTCACGGCTAGGAAGCGAGGTGTCACACGAAGCACCTGGGGCTCTCGTTAACATGCAGACCCTGATTCAGCAGGTGTGGGCTGGGGTGGAAACTCCGGAGGAGGCCAGTCCCCTGCGGCTGGACTGCAGAAGGCAACCAGGCGTGGTGACGTTCTGAAAGCGCACAATCCAGTCTGTCCACCCTCACCCCTCCCTCCTGCCACCCAAGCCCCGAGTCCTGCACACACCCCATGCCTGTCGGGGGGGCGGTGTGTGACTGAGTCATATCCCAGCTCACACGTTCTCATGAGTTAGGTGGGCATCCCGCTGGCCTGCTCCCAGGAGGCCAAGGATGGATGGACCCGTGCTTGCTGACAGCAGCTGGCTCCACAGCAGCGCCCGCTGCCCACACTGACCTCCCTCCCAGCAGCAGTGGGAAAACCTGGCTCTGTTGGCTCTGATGTTGACAGTGCAGAAAAGCTGTGCCCTTCAGCTGCCCTGGCCTCCCGGGGAGAAAGGATGGGTGATGTGATTCTGAAGGAGGCCCAGACAGCCCAGCCTCCCTGCAATTCAGCCCAGAGGCAGGAGCTCTCGGCCTAAGCAAAAACTGGTCAACCAAGTTGTTGGCTCTGAAAGTTCAACACCTGCTTCCCAGACACCATCCTGTCCCCTGACCTGGATCTGCCCACAGCTTAAGGTTTCAGCAGGGAGGGTGTGTTTCGTGCCAGTGACCCAAAGGAAGCAAGGCGCGGGGAGGCCCACGGGCGAGCAGTCCTCTTTGCTGCTACCCTGCACCAGGCGTTTGGTGGGTGGTGCTGTCTGGAGGCTGGACGAGTCTTTGTTGTCCCCGTTTCTTGCGCCCAGTTCACAGCTGAGCAGGCGCACTCAGAGAGGCTCGTCCAAGGCCGCTGCTGCTGAGAAATGGTGGGGACTGAAGGCAAGCCCAAGTCTTGACGAACCCAGCACCTGAGTCCTTGCAGGGGTGAAAGCTGCTTGAGATGGTGGGGCTGAGCCCTAGAAGACTGGGGCTAATAAAGGCCCGGAGTCTTCCTCAGCAGTCCAGGAACTGTTCTGCCATTGGGGATGGAGTCGGTTGGGGGGGTGGAGATGCTCCTTCTGGCCCAAAGACCCCAGGAAATACAGCAGGACTTGACACTGGAAGAAACAGGGCAATACACCTCCTGACTCTCAGCATAAGTAGGTCCACTCAGCCCCACCGCCTCATCCGCTGGGAAGCTAAATGGGAACTCCCCAACCATTTGACAGGAGGGAAATGAAGGCCCAGAGCACACAAGGCCCAGAGGGTTGGATTCCCTTAGAGCCCTCGCCCAGCAACTCCCAGCCCCCACTTCTCTTTGCAATCTCTGGATAAGAGAAGGAAGAGGAGGGACCCCATTGTTCACTTCCTCAGTGCTCCCACACAGGCACAAGGGATCACCTCCTCCTCCCGTCTGATCAGCTCCTCCGCTGTGCAGATGAGGAAACAGAGCTAACTGGTTTCTCCTTCCCTCCCTCCTTCTCAGCCTCCTGAAACACGAGCCACGCTCCCGGGCTTGTCTGAAATGCCATCTCTTCCCAGGGCCTCCTCCCCTCCCTGACTGCTCCTGGAGCTCCTCTGGTCTCTGGCTCCAGCCCGCCAAGGCTCAAGACCCTGTTCCCACAGGGTGGCCGGGCTGTGGTGTCCCAGCATGCATAGCTTTCCCCAAAGCAGTCCGCCCCAAGACACCCGGCAGCGTGAACAGTTGAAAATAGACTCAGGCCCCAGCCTGGCCTGACCACACCACCGGCTGGCCCCCGCGCCAGACCCCTCCTTGCCTCAACCACTTGGCTGAGGCCTCTTCTCTCCCGCCCTCTGGCCCTCCCCCAGAATGCTCTGCCCCTCTCGCAGACTTCGGGAGACGCCTCTGAGGCAGGTGGGCATGTCATGATGATGGTGATGAAAATGGTCATGTCAACAATCACTGGCTAACCCTGACTGAGGACTTGGAATGTGCCGGGTTCCACTCAGAAGTGCCTCAAACCCACAGCACCGTCTAATAGCATCACAATCACCTCAAGGTGCCACAGCTGTGAGGTGCCCCCAAGTCCGACTCATCACCACCCCGGGTGACAGGAGACTGTAGACCTGATAGGCGCAGGTCGCCAGGCCTTTCTCCCGCAGACACTGGTGGTTCGAACCACCAACCTTTCAGTTAGCAGCCACGCACTTGACCACTGTGCCACCTGAGGCCCACGTCTTGGCCACCCCCACTGTGCCTGAGCACAAGAGGACTGAGGAGTGCGCCAGCCAGGAGGAAGCGTTGTTTCCCTCTGACCGAGAGCACATCCCCGGAAAGGGACCACGGCGTTCATCCAGCCAAACCTCTGAGTGTACACAGAAGGGAACTGGAGCCCAGGAGAGCCAGTGTCTGGCCCCGGGGTCACACAGCAAGTTGACAGCTACGTGCCCTGCTTAGCCTCGGCCCCACCAGAGCTCACAAGGGATGGGAAGCTAAATTCCAAGCACTCCCCGCAGCTGTGTGAGCAAAGGCCTCTGTCTCCATGTCTCAGAGGCTCTGGCCTCTCCATCTGGAAACGAAGCCCAGACTCACTGATGGTCACATGACTGGACCCCAGCTTGGGCCCAGCTAAAGTGGGACCCATCTCCTGGCCTGGCCTTGTCCTCTTGCTTGGTCACCCAAATGCCCCAGCACTGACCCAGATGTCCATGCCCCCACCCACCCACTGTCTAGAAC